CGGGAAGAGTCAGTTCTTTGGTTGCCTACAAAACCAAGGCTTAAGATAAGTCCTAGCGCGCTCAACCCTCAAACCTCCTACTAACAGCCAGAACCCGCCTAAACCAGGTGGCGCCATTCCCTAAACCCTACACCCTACAACCCTGCGTAGCTCTCTCTGCAAGGGTTTACCGGTTCCTTCTACCTGGCCCTAGAACCATAAACGCCAAGCCCGAAGTTCCTCCAAACCCCCCTAAGCCCATACTACTTTAGGGTTAGGGTTAGGATTTAGGGCTTCGGGTTTAGGTTTTAGGTTTTGGGGTTTGGGGCTTGGGGCTTACTTCTCCGGACCCCGCCTCGAGCAGCTTGCGCTTGAGGCACTGGGCAGCGGGACGGGGGCAGGGGTCGTCCCGGAGGTTCAAGGCTTCGACGTTTAATGTAGGGGGGTTTCCGAAATTGGGGGGTACCTTTGCTGTGTTCTTAAAATAAGGGAATCCGACTATTTGGGGACTACATTAGGGGCCCCGTGTTTTTGTAAACCACCACAAGGGCTTTCTGAGCTTATGGGCTTCGACTTCGATTGGAGGTCCTCTTCGCCATCTTTCAGGGGTTGTAGTGGCTTCCGGGTTGCGGGCATCTCGGGTATTTGGGGTTTGGGGGTTAAGGGTTTAGGCTTCGGGGTTTGGCTCCAAACCTCTAGCCCGCATGCACCAACCTCCAAAACCTGTCTCCCTACACCCTAAACCCTAAAACCTAAAATGGTATTTCTGCGGTACTTGCCCTTAGCCCTAAGCTTGGGATGTTCTCTCCCCCCCCTCCACATGGCAGCAGCTTTTCATGGGATTAGCGACTCTCCACACTGTAAGGTCCACTTCTCATTCTCAAAAAGTGCACATAACAGCCCATGTCCAATCTACGACCGTCGTAAACCCAAAAGGGTACAAGGATACCCACTCAGCACCTGAACCTTAAACCCTAAACCCAAACGCAAAACCCTATACCCTAAACCCTAAACCCTAGAACCCCGAAGCCCTAAACTGTAAACCCTAAACCCTATAAGCCCTAAGCCCTAAGCCCTAAGCCCTAAGCCCTAAACCCTAAACCCTAGGCCCTAAACCCTTAACCCTAAACCCTAAACCCTATCAGTCTACAAGCCCTGTCCTACACCCTCCAGAAAGTTGACACGTCCGGGCTCAGGCCTCGGATAGCGACGGGGCTCGCGCTCTGGGTGCCTTGCGGTTTAGGGTTTAGGGTTCAGGGTTTAGGGTTTAGGGTTGCGGGTTTAGGGTTCAGAGCAGCGATTAAGGCTCTGCGATTTAGGGTTGATGGGTTTGGGCTTGCCCAATACACAAGCCAGCGTAAAGGGTATGAAAACTTTACACTAACACCAGCACCCGAAACCCCCAACGTTTTAGGGGTTTGGAGTTAGGGACAAGAGCATCTAAGCCCCAACCCCTAACCCTAACTCCTATGCGCTAAACTCCATGCCATAAAGAGCAACCCCCGCCCCACCCCAAACAACATGGTAGAACCTGAAACGCCGTACCTTAACTTTGGAGAGTGGAATTCCTAGTCATGTCATCGTAGTGGAATGTCCTACGAAAGACCCCTGCCCCGACTGTTCCGGAAAGGGGGGCTAGTAACAGTCACAGTAAAAATCTGTGTCGGGAGGGGGGGGGGGGGTGGCTGGGGTCGGGGGATACATGCATTATTGCTGCACCCACCCCGGAAACGGGATTCCCTGAAATCCCCTCCTTGAACATTACGATGGGGCTCTCTGCGGACCCATGTGTAAACAAGAAGCTACGGAAACACCGGGCAACAACAACCAACGGAGATCTAATCATTTCTTCTAAGAATCATTTCAGGCAATGATGCAGACAAACAAGAAGTGGAACATAACAGGCATGCAAACTCGTGGGGCCCACAGCTTACCCTTCAGTAGACTTTACCTTTATCGTCGGCTTCTTTAGGACGTTAGGCGGTTGAGGGTTCTTAGGGCTGTTTGGGGCTTTAGGGCTCTGAGGGTTCTGAAGGCTTTTGCAGGTTCGCTGCGGGTGTAAGGTTTGAGGGGCCCCGGCAGGTTTCTGACTCTTTGGTTTTAGGGTTTTAGGGTTTTAGGGTTTTAGGGTTTTAGGGTTTTAGGGTTGTTAGAGGGCCTTCAAGGTGCTTCAGTGTGAAGGCTGGAGGGTGTGGAGGCCGGGTTCAGTTCTTGGCGGGTTGGTTCATTGAAACACCTTGTAAAGCCCCAAACGTAGTAAAGCCAGGTCTTATCAAGCCGGAACAAACACCTAGACCCAATAGACAGCTAGGAAAAGAAGGGTGCCCTTTTCGGTTTTAAGGGCACTATAAAGGGAACCTAGACCCTCAAAAAAGGGAATAAGGGCCTACTCCGGGTCCTAGAAACCCGCGAAGCCCTCCCCTAGCACCTCCTGCTCTGCCTGGCAAGGCCTGGGCCATCCTGGCCGCTTTCGGGGGGGTTTAGGGTTTAGGGTTTAGGGTTTAGGGTTTAGGGTTTAGGGTTTAGGGTTTAGGGTTTAGGGTTTAGGGGGCTTGAGGGCGTTGCTACCACTAAAACCGATTGTTTCCTGAAAAGAGCCAAGGTCCAGGAGGGTCCCAGGGTTCTATTCCAGCACTGTTTTGGGTGCAAGATCTGTACTTTCCCAGGCCCTTAGGGCCTTGAGTTTAGGCCTATGAAGCTCCCATCCCAAACCCCCCAATCCTAAACCCTAAACCCTTAAACCCTAAACCCTAAACATCCCCCCCCCCCGCCCCATGCCTGAAGTACCCTAAAACTTCTCCCAAGCCCCTCTATCGCGGCGGTCCGGGGAATTTGGCTGCTCCAGGCAGACCAGCCTGGAACCCCGGGTATCCTCGGCTCAAGGCTGGGTTGGGTTGTGGGTTCAGGGCTCATGGCTTCAAGCTGCTTCGGGACTGGGTTTTCGGTTTAGGGATTAGGGCTTCGAAGTTGGGGCTTCGCCTTTGGCCTCTTTAAATGGCCTCTAGGAGTTTGAGGGTTGATGGTTTAGGGCTTAGGGGGTTTGAGGGTTTGACGGTTTTGGGCACGTAAGGCCAGAGGAGTGAGCTTGGAGGTTCATGGATACTTGTGAGTAAGGATATTCGTACTTATCAGTACCCATGAACCTTCAAGTAGGGCAAGGAACCAAGAAGCATAATCAAGAGACCCTAAAACCTAAACCCTAAACCCTATGCACGTAGTCATCGAATCATCACCATGACAATGGAAGTCCTGACCTAAGAGCAAAGCCCAGACCCTAAACCCCAAACCCAAAACTCTTAGGGTAGTTGCATGGTCCCTTAGTATGGGCCCCTAAACATGAACCCATTACGAACCCCTTAAATACCCTATACTACCCAAGCGCCATACATCAGAACACTTTAACGGAGCCAAGGGACCACATTTTTAAGGGCCCAATTTACTACCCTTAAGAAACACCCTGAACTCTGAACCCTCAACCCCAAACCGCCCTTAAAAACCCCTGAACCCTGAAACCTGAACCCTTAAAAACCCCTGAACCCCAAACCCTGAACCCTAAACCCTAAACCCTAAACCCCAAACCCCAAACCCTAAACCCTAAACCCCAAACCGCAGTCGCCATTCCTTGCTGCAAGGGGGCGTCATGGTCTGCGCCATGTTCCCTGTCTGGAGAGGTCTCCGGAGAAATCCTTCGGGTCGAAGCCAGACCGCGAAGTTAAGGGTTTAGGGTTTAGGGTTTAGGGTTTAGGGTTTAGGGTTTAGGGTTTAGGGTTTAGGGTTCAGCACAAAAAAATGGGCTTCAGGAATGTTAGGCTGTTAGGGTTTCCTCTTTTTCTGGTGTTTGACAAGCTGTGAAGGATAGGGTAAAGAATGCATTCGAATGCTTCGTTGCATGCGAAACGGCCCGATTGCGGAAGGCTTCAAAAGATTTCGCCCACCCCGCTTCTAGGCTCGAGCGCAGATGAATTGCATGGCATACCCTTATAAGTCTGGTTCTATCGCCCCGCAAAGCAGCCTCTTCTTCGATTCTATGGCGGGGGAATGTATGGTGCTCACCGAGCATTTTGAGGAATAACTTCATTGTCCTCCCCCTCTCCCCCCCCTCCCTCCCTCCCTCCCTCCCCCTACACCCTAAACCCTAAACCCTCTGGCCCCTAGTTGCTTCTGAGCAAACCACCTGCTTACAAACAAACCCCTTTAAAGAAAACGGGATTCAAACAGAAACAATTTGAACCTCCAAACCCCGGGACATTCACCAACGAAGTAAACACCTAACAAACCCTGGTACATACACAGACTTCGCAAGCCCTAACTATACCAAACAACATCCTAGATCCGAACAGCCATTCAAACCATGACAGACGGCAAGAAACTTCGCACAAAAACAAATGCAGACCCCAAATCGAACCCTTCCTAAGTTTAACGGCTCAGTGTTTTAGCTTCTGAGTTGCTAAGGTTCATGGTATGCTAGACCCGGGAGTAACCTAGGAATAAAAAGGGTACCCTTTTTGGGTTTAAGGGGATTATAAGGGAACCCCAACCCTAACAAAAGGAAAAAAGGGCCTACTCCCGGTCCTAGTATAGCACTGTACTACGTCGGCACATGTGCACAGGCGCCTGGTGTGGCCGAGTGTGGGAGTGCAAGAGCGGGACCTGCCACACATGGGGACTGTGAAGAGGTCCCTACTTGAAGGTTCATGGGTATTTCTAACCCCAAGTAGAAGTCTACTTAAAACCTGCTTAGAGGACTTAGGTGACTTAGGGGGCTTATTAAGTACAGTTACAAGTGGGGTATATTGGGGCTATAAGTACCCTGAACCTCCAAGTAGGCAGTGCATGTAGTCCCACTCCTTGATCCGCAGGCAGCGCCTCTTGCTTCAACGGTCCTTTTTTGCATCTGTCCTACAAGTGACGCAAAGCAGAAGGCTGGAACTGATTGCTAGCCGTAGTGTGTTGTGCTTCTCAACGTTGGAAGTGTATGCGACGACTGTGAAGTCACCATCGCTTTCGTTCCTGCGGAAGCTTTACAGCTGCTTGGAGCGCAGAACCTCATAGAGGGATATGACGTGCTTCGCACACGGCCTTTTCAGAAGGTTTAGCTCAAACTCAGCAAGAGCCTGTGGCCACCTGTCCGACATCCTCTTCATCGCACCATTGAAGGAGCTGAATCGGCCCTTGGCATAGGAAGACTGAGGAGCGAGAACCAGTCGGCCGGCGAGCAGTGGAGCAACGAGCGCACTGAAAGTGATGTCGACATGGGACAGCTCATCGCCAGTCAAGTACTTTTGCTTCGAAAGGGCCGAGTCAGCTTCATCCAAAATGGCATCAATCATCTTCCGCCGCCGATCTCGCACATCCGGACTGGACAGCTCGAAGGCCATCCTCATGAAAAACCTGAACAGTTCAAGGCACACAAAAATCTGAGTTACTTGACGCTGCCTGGTGTGCCAAGGTGTAGCTCTGACTTTTGGCGGGATGGCCTGAAGAAGGGATGGCCCAGACGTAGTATGACGCGGTGCGTTAGAGGCACCATGGGCTCGTAGCCACCCCAAGCAGTCAAACATCCCTCCGGCGTAGTGTCAGGGTCCAAGACGTAGAAGTAAGCCCAACCTTCATGGGATGTGCCTAAGCAAGCTTAGAGGTCACAGTGGTAGAGCTGAGGATGAAAGCAAGCATTCCAAGACTGACTGTGACAAGCAGTCGCAGTAGTAGTAGCAGTAGCAGCAGCAGTAGCAGTAGCATTGCTACTTTACGTCAATCACGGTTTTTTGCGCAAGTAGCTATACTCCCCTTAGAACCTTAATGTTGATTATTCCCGTCCCTTGTAAGGGGGCCATGGAATCACTGCTCCTGCCGGAAGTCAGCCCTACCTTGAACCAGATGCCCAAGTTGGTTCAGCTTCACATCCCAGGCCGCGGTCTGCTCATCGTTGCGAAGGAAGGAGATGGCCTTCATATACTCGCGTAGTCAACTGGCGCCATCATGGTCACAAACATGTCAGAAACGAGAGGTGATGAGCATGTAAGGGTAAAAACAGGAACAGCTTCAAAGACAGATGACACTCACGAGATGGCCTTGGACCGGAGACGGGCATCGGTGATGCTTGGGACATAGGCGGCGCTGAGATATGCCTCACATGCAGCATTCGCAAATTACAGGCAGGGTTGCCCTGCTCCAGTCACGCAAGAACAGTTTAATTATAATTACTTGGTAGCCTCCTTCAGTTAAAGCACTCTGCGCTTTTGCGAGTCGGGTTGCGAGGCACTCGTCGCTGTTGCCGATCAGGCTGCAGGTCTTGCGATCGATGAGTTGCGGCACACTACGGCCCCTCAAGAAGGCCGAAATCAAGCCTCCCACTGTGTACTCTTCATAGGGGGCGCCGATGAGATCAAGTGCCCAGCGGACCCGCTCTCCGAAGTGGTTGATGGGCATGGCCACGAGAAGGAAGCGAGGCCGGTTCAAGCGGTCGCCGCCTATCAGATCGCCCGCCTGATGAAAGAGCCCTCGCTCAGTCAGTCCAACCTCAATCCCCTTCAAAGTGGCCGGATCACCTCGGATGGCTCGGGCGGCAAGGGCTGACGCCAGTAGAACCAACGGCAAAGCACAGGCCACGGCCGTCGTGGAGAACGACCAGTGAGCAAACAGCAAGGCTGCGGCAGAGTACACTGCTGCCACGGCGGCTGCAATCGGCAATGCGGAGTGTGGCTGCTCCATGGCTCGGTCTGCAAGTCTCCAATTTCTGCGTAATCTAGGGGCCTGAGTTTTTAGAATAGTTTTTTTTTTTGGGGGGGGGGGGGGGGGGGGGGGGGGGGGGGGGGGGTAGTATTATAGCATGATGAAGAGACCCTAAGGGAGTGCATTTCGTAATTTTTCCGACCCCTATATTAGAAGGCTCTTCGGGTGCCTCTGGACTTTGGCCAATGCTCGAAACACATACGCCATCACTTCGGCTAAACGCTTGCCTGAGGACCACATCCTGGCTTCGCGTAGACGCAGGTCCATCTATGTTCACCGTGCGACAACCAGCCAGAGTATACTATGGTCTATATAGGGTATCCTACAGTACAGGATAGGTGCAGTATGGTGTGTAAATATCTGGAAAAGCTATTGTTCTGCATATCATATTGCACACAAGAATAATACTCTATTAGTCTATGCCCGAGTGCATACTGCACCACTTGAGCCATGCTTGCTTGACTCCGGGGGAGCTGGCCCAGGTCTCAACCCGAAACCTGAAAGCTTTTGGGACTTCATCGGATTTCGCAGCCACGCACATTGGGATGTGGCCCAATGTCTCGACTTCAGTGCCCAGGCAGGCAATCAGCGTGGTTGCGCTAGTTACAGGCCATGCATGACAGCCTTGACATGCGGCAACGATGTGAATAACACACACACACATACAATATGCAAGAAAAGGTTCGGCGATCTGCACCCTGGCACAAGGTCCCCAGTACAGTACGACACAGCCAAGAACTCAGAAGCATATAATCCTTTAACACAGATTCGGAGACGGTGGTGCGACAACTCAGGCATCTATACACATGTGAGAAAACCCTTTTGACTCACCTTCTGTGCCATTCGCTGATGTCGCTGTTTCTGGACAACTTGATAAGGAGATGCCATAACCACATGTCTCATCTACTGTGTCAGTGAAAAGGCATGAAGGAAATCACTGCAACAGTTTCCTGCTGCAACTGCTGACAGCTGCCGAGACAGGACTGACTATTCTGGGTGGCTAGTATGTGCAACGAATCTTGCAGCAGTCTAGCTCCGACAAAACAGCCGTAATACACTACACCCTGCAAAAGATGTTCTCCCACGCCTGTCCATTTTGCCAATCTAGCTAGATGAGAGAACTGCCACTCCTCCTGTGTTGTTTTCCACTAAGTACGAAGAGAACATGATTTAAGCCCTGGACACAAAAAAAACCGTAAACCTAATCCCTGAAGCATCAACCCCCTTCAGCCCCAAACCAGCCAGGTGGTGCCTTGCCCTCTCAGTCCCAGCCCACGCGACCTGAAAGTTGCTTACGTAACTTGACTTCACCCTGGTTTAGGGTTTAGGGTTTAATGTTCGTAAGTAGACAGAAGTCTTACCTCAGCCCCTCTAAGACCTGCACGGTTTGGGAGCTGTAGCATGTGCCCGATTCAAGATCTCTACGGGCGCTATACTAAGACAGTGCATAACACATGCCAATCCCCCCCCCCACATGACGCAAAGGGTTCTGCAGGGCTTCCAGAGTCTACCTTCGACGTATTCAATGCCCGAACGATCTTAAAAGACACCCTTCGGAACCACAATAAAACCAAAACGTCCAATCTTCCAATGTAAGAAGCAAATGAAGCAGAATTTTCTAACCCAACTATGCAACCCAAAACACTCCGTCCGGGAACGTGCTGCCAAAGACACGCGAGCCGCGGAGCATGGGCGTACCTCCCCCCGACCCCTGCGACCTCCTTTTGAGCAACGCAACTTCGGCGGCTCAGGCGTAGTGGGGCCTTTAAGGCTGCAAGGGGTTTAGGGTTCATTTTGGGGGGTTTACGGCTTGGGGGGGCTCTACGGATGAACCCTGCATGGATGATCACCCCTTATCAGGACTTACAAGCAGGGGTCTATGATAAAGCAAGGCCTGGGGGAATACATGATACTTGGAGGCTCATTAGGGTACTTGTCAGTAGGGATATGACTGCCCTACATAAGGCTAGAGCCATAGTTACCCTACGCATAACTGCTTCCCAGGATGGGCCATTAGGCCTTAAAATCCCCGTAATGAACCCTATAAAAGGGCCCTTTAAGGGAGTATAGGGTATAATAGCCCATCCTGGTGTTAGCACTTTAAAGTCCAAGTTGTACACCTAAGTCGTCCCCACTTGGAACCCGGATCAGCAGTTCAAGACTTCAGGAGCGGGCTTTCAGGGTCTCAAGAATGAAGCAATAAGAAGACTAGGGTTTAGGGTTTAGGCATGCACATGGCTTCAGGCTCGTGGGACGCATTTTTCTTGGGTCGCACAGGTCCGACTGAAGTCGCGCCGGGACGCAGCATGAGCAAGGCACACGCTCTACGGCATCTATGGTGCTTGAAGCTCCCCTCAACCCTTCAATGGGGTGTATAGGATTTAGGGTAATTAGGGTCCTGACTGCACCTCACCTACCGACTCTAAGTGTGAATTCAGAAAATTTCGGGCTAAGAGTTCAGGAGAGGCTCCTAAGAGTTCAGGAGAGGCTCTGCTGTTAAATCTCGGTTTCTGGAGCCGTCGAGACCCCCCATCCCAGAGCAGCGTGCCCTACTTCTTGCTCTTTAGCTTGGCCCTCGCGGCGTGGACCATCTGCTCCTTCTGGATGAGGTGACCTGGGTTTCGGGTTGAGGGTTTGGGGTTTAGCGTTTGGGGTTCAGGGTCCCAGAACCCCCCAAATCCAGAACCCGACGTAACCGCTTGGGGTTTGAAGCGTGACTTGCGCAAGCGCTTCAGGTCTGGAAGCAGCTGGAAACCCGTCCCCCGCCCCCCCCCCCCCCCCCCCACCCACCCCCCCCCAAAAAAAAAACACAAAAACAGGACCCTATTTTAGACCAGCCCCCATAGGGTGGTTCAGGGGCGCATTACAGGCCCTGCTGCCCCGCGAGCTACCCCTAAACCCTAAACCCTAAACCCTAAACCCACTCCCAGAAGTGCTTCCAGGCCACTGGTGTTCTCGACCAAGTCAAGCATCTTGGTGATGTTATCGGACCTCGTCGGGCATGCCATGCCACGCTCTAAACTAACATCGTCTCTGGGGTTTAGGGTTTAGGGTTTAGGGTTTGGGGTTTAGGGTTTAGGGTTTAGGGTTTAGGGTTTAGGGTTTAGGGTTTAATTAGGGTTTAGGGTTTAGGGTTTAGGGTTTAGGGTTTAGGGTTTAGGGCTTAGGGATCGCGGGCACCCAAGAAAGTACCCCCATTCATGCAAGGAGGTCCAAGTGTGTCAGGGGAAGTTAATGTTGCGGGTCTTGTGTAGTTTCGGGTTCGCGGTTGGATGTTTCTAGGGGTCTGGGTACCTGAACCCAGGTGACTGTCTCTCACCAGCCGGCGGTCCCGAAGTGAGTTGAAGCTTCGAGGAGCCAACCGCCTGTGACGATGTGTTTTCAGAAATTTCATATGACAGAAGTCGTTACTTGGGTTTAGGGCTTAGGGTTCTTAAGCAAAAGCCAACCCGCAATCCATCAAGCAACGAACACCCCAACACCCACCCCCGCACGCAAACAAGGCCCCCCAAACCCCACACCCAAAACGCCAAAGCCTGAATCTCCTACAACCCCGAAAACCAGGCAACCCAAGCCCCTTAAGCGCCCCAAACCCTGAACCCGACACCTTAACCCCAAAACCCAAACCCAAAACCCCATACCCGAAACCCAACCCCGAAGCCCTAAACCCTAAACCCCGAAACCCAAAACCCTAAAAACCCCCAATTGAGCCCCCGGGCCAGCCGTTCAGCCGGTCGATGTAGGTTTGCTTCTTACCTTCTTCGGGGCTCTTGTCGGGCTTTTGGGGGGGTTTAGGATTTAGGGGGGTTGAGGGTTTAGGGTTTACAGGTTAGGGAAGGGATGCTTGGTTCCACAACCCTTTTTCTGGGGTTGTACCTTGGACCATTTAGGTTGTATCCCTGCGTTTTGGGGGACCCTGTTGAACGATCCTTAAGGTAGCATAAGGGCCCGTTTTAGGTACCAGCCTTTGTCCCTTGATCTTTTATGTTCAGATAACCCCAACACACTACATCCTCATCCCTAAACCCAAAACCTTAATTCCTTTAAAGCCCTAAATGGATCTTGGGTTCCAGTTTGAGGATCTGAGTAACACAAACCCCATACAACCCTGAGGCCCTCAACCCTGAAGCCCTAGAACCCGGAAACCTAAAACCTGAAGCCCGAAAACCCTAACACCCCGAAGCCCCAAAAACCAAAAACCCTGAAAGCCCTAAAGCCCCCTAAAGCCCAAAAAGCCCCTCAACCCCCAAACCCTAAACCCTAAACCCGAAACCCTAAACCCTAAACCCTAAATCCTAAATCCTAAACCCTAAACCCTAAACCCTAAACCCTAAAGCCCCTGAAGCTCCTCAAGCCCTAAGCGGGTGAACCTGAGGCCCGCAACTCTTGGCACCGAAGGCTTCGGGTTTAGGGTTTAGGGTTTAGGGTTTAGGGTTTAGGGTTTAGGGTTTAGGGTTTAGGGTTTAGGGTTTAGGGTTTAGGGTTTACGGTTTAGGATTCATGGACAGGAGTAAGTTGAGGTTTTGAAGGCTTACGGTTTTCGGTTCCGGGTTAGGGCTTCAGGATATTGGGGGCTTTGGGGGGTTTTCGGTTTAAACCTTAAACCCGAATTGGGGCTTTCAGCTTAGGGCTTTGGGTCTTCAGGGCTTCGGGCGCTCGGCTTCCGGCCGAATTTGATAGTGCCCGCAGGCCGGTCGATGCGCGCGTACACGAACCTGAGCGTGGCCGACTCAACCCCTGACCATGAGGGTTTAGGGTTTAGGGTTAGGGTTTAGGGTTTAGGGTTTAGGGTTTCCGCTTGACTTCGGCGCGCAGCACAGGCCCTTCTACACCCCGACCCCCGTCCCCAAGATCCCTGAAAAACCCCCCCCCTCCGCAACCGCCCTCGAGTCGATAGAGGGTTTAGGGTTTAGGGTTTAGGGTTTAGGGTTTAGGGTTTAGGGTTTAGGGTTTAGGGTTTAGGGTTTAGGGTTCTACGGGGTTCAGAGGTCGGGGACTGCCACTCAGCCGGTTAGGGTTAGGGTGTGGGACTCAATACCCAAGATTAGCTGCACCAACATTCTGTCGAGCGCTGTTCTGAATGAAGGCCCCATGAGTTTGGGATGAACTACAAGAGCCCCGGCGAGGATACGGTGTAACCGAACTGCTCGACGGGCCTTCTTGGAGATTTTTAGGGGATACATTCAAGAGCCACTCCGAGCAGACCAAGTGAGTGGAGGTTGGGGGATGTTGGGGTTTGAGGTTCGAAGCGTGTAAAGGGTTCAGGGAGACTGTGCGGGAGTTGCCCCACTGTTGTGCTCAAAATGCCCTTTTCTGGCTGGTTCTTGGGAATGAGGGAATGAGGTACCCTATACAATCCCGTCATTCCCTACTAAGAACCAGATTCCCTACTAAGAACCAGGGGGTTGTTGTAGAGGTTCGGCATGCGAGAGCTAGTTATTGTTTCTGCCTGTACGAGCTGGCAGAAACACACGTGAAGAACGCGAATGAGTCGTATATCTCCTTTGCTCCAAAGGTAGACGCTTGCTGCGTTGCAAAAGCCGAGGGGCTTGTTTAGGGTTTAGGGCTTACGGTTTAGGGTTCGGGGGCTTGGGGGCTCAGGGTAATGCACGCGCAGCGGCTTGGAGCAGACGAGCTCTGACAACTCCTCTTCGGTCTCCTTGTCTCCAAGGCCTTGGTGGGCTGGGTTGAGGGTTGAGGGTTGAGGGTTGAGGGTTGAGGGTTGAGGGTTGAGGGTTGAGGGTTGAGGGTTGAGGGTTGAGGGTTGAGGGTTGAGGGTTGAGAGTTGAGGGTTGAGGGTTGAGGGTTGAGGGTTGAGGCTTGAGGCTTGAGGGTTGAGGGTCCAGGGTTTAGGGTTGTACCAGGAGCTCAGGCATCGGGTTTAAGTAGGCCCTGGACGGTTGCTCCCTCAACTTTGAACGCGACGCTATTGCCATCATTTGAGCAGAAGCCTCGGGATCCCCATAAGGGTAGTCCTCTGAGTTCGGGTCCCTTTTGGGGGTCCTTATCCTAAGGTGCCGTACTACATAGGGAGCCCGACAAGGGAAACGAATTCAGAGAAACCAACACAAAACTCCAGGAGGTCTTGCAACCAGGCCCGAAGTTGAGAAAACCCTAAACCCTAAACCCTAAACCCTAAATCCCTAAACCCTAAACCCTAAACCCAGAACCCAACGTAAACCTTGTATACCGAAGCCCGGAGGCCCTCCCTAGCCTTGACACGAACATCCCGCCCAAAAAACACCGACCCCAGAAATACAAACCTGAGAATACATGAATGCGTAATGTATCTGTATGTGTATATACATATATACATATACATATATACACATTACTTACTACACACACACACACTTATGCACTTATATTCAACATTAGCACACACACACATGCTGTAGCTCGAAGAAACCCAAGTACAAATACAAGTACCATATACAAATACACATGTACGTATGTGTAGCCACAAGTATAACGACCGAGTAGATCGATGACTAAATGCATAAATATCAAGCTTCTACAGGTGCTGATCTTAGAGGGCGGGAACCCTAAACCCTAAACCCTAAACCCTAAACCCTAAACCCTAAACCCTAAACCCCTAACCCCTAAACCCTAAACCCTAAACCCTCTCTGAGCCAAGCCTTCGGGCCTAGACTCTGGGGTTTTTGCATGCAGGGGAGTTCTAAAGTCCGGGGTTTAGGGTCGAAGCAAGGTTTCGGCTTTTAGGTTTAGGGTTTAGGGTTTAGGGTTTAGGGCTCAGGGTTTAGGGTTTGGGAATTTTAGGGCCTGGGGCTCGTGGGAATTTGGGGATGGTCGGGGGTGCGGTGCGCCGACCGGAGCACCCAAAAGCCCAAAGCCCGCAACTTCCAAGGAGGGCGCCGACGAGCTCGCAGAGCCTCTTTATGTGGATCTGCTCGTAATACTCTGACACAACCTGGCGCCCAAAATGAAGGAGAAGGGCCACACTCCACCTGTCGTTGTGGCCTTGAACCCTAAAACCCGAAACCCCAAGCCGCCCTAGGTCTTGGGGGCTAGGGTCTAGGGTAGTTACCATGGTCCCTGAGTATGGGGCCTTAAAAGGGTACCCCTTCTATGCCGGAGCGTAGCGGTTTGAAACCACTCTCCCCAAACAGCCCGAACAGCTAGGGCCTCTTTTTGTAAGCTTGGGGGTTCCGTGATCTGAGTTTGCCTAACCCCCCCCCAACCCCCAACAAAAACCCGGAACCCTCAGGGCCAAGACTGAACCCTTGAGGCTTTGCCTAATGCCAGGGTTCTTTCATAGATACATTTTGCCATGCACAGCAGGACCCCCTCTAAACCATAAACCCTAAACCCGCCCCCTCTTCCACGAGTCCAGGTCGCGGGCAAAGAGCAAGAAAACGGCACCCAACTCCAAAACCGCTTGAAACCCAACGCGCCCGCGTCTGCAAAGCTTAACGCCTGAGAAAGGCTCACGGCTTGGGGTTTAAGGTTTGGGAGCAAAAATTTAGGTTTTGTGACATGCTTACTTGAGAGTTTACGGGCCACCCTAGATCCTCAACCCTGTAGAGCTTTAGGGGCCCACAAGCAGTCCCCGCGACCACCTTGATATTGTGCTGCACCACACGCTTCTTCAGCAGCTCCCATCCTAGGTTCTAAAGGTATGTCGTGTTTCGGGTTGAGGGCACAAGAACCCACAGAAAAAAACTGCAGTTCCCTTTTGACCCCTAAACCCTAAAACCCTAAAACCCTGAACCCTAAAACCCTGAACCCGACATCGGAATCAGCAGTGAAGGAAAAGATCTTCCAAGCCATGCTCGAGGATCTCTCCTTGGCGCCCTCGTGGGGCGAGTCCTGGAAGACTGCGTGCTTTTTCAGCTCCTCCTCTTTCGCGAGGGGCCAGTTCACGATCTCCTCCAGCAAAAAGGGTTTGTAGAGTCTAGGGTTTAGTGTTTTTGGGTTTAGGGTTGAGGGTTTAGGGTTTAGGGCTTGCGGTTTCGGGCTTAGGGTTTGGGAGTGTGTGTGTGTGTGTGCTTCAATTTTTGTTTGGGGGGGGGGGGGGGGGAAGGGTGTAGGGTTGTGGGTCTTGGGTTAAGGGTTTGGGGTTTAAGCATACCTGCACCTGCTGTCCTGGGTTACCATAGGATTTGGAGTTGCAAATACCCACAGGGACTCTCCCAATAAGGGCAGTTGCTCTTGGGGAAGACAACACAAGGTGCTGAGGGTTTAGGGCTCCGGTGTTCGCGAAGTGTTTTGGGGGGGGGGGGGTTGATCGGCGCGCCTTCTTCATGAAGATCCTGATCAGGTTCCTGTATGTCGGAACCTTTGGGCAGGCAGAAGGCATGGTCAGGTTGGAACATCCATCAGACACCTATAGCCTATACCCTTGCCGGCAGCCGTGTATGGCCCGCCTTTACGTAAAGACGAACCTTGAGACGCTAAACTTCAAAACTCACACTCTTCTTGCCTGTGGCTTGCAAGAGCAGTGTTGTTTTTTGCGTTTGGCCTTGGTGTTGCGTCCCAGTCCTTGAAATTTAGATGTCGGGACAGTTCCGAACATGGGGTTCAGGATTTGGGCCTGAAACCCTAAACCCTAAACCCTAAACCCTAAACCCTAAACCCTAAACCCTAAACCCTAAACCCTAGACCGCGGCCTGTTGGCAGGCTTTTGACCGGAGCATCAGGGCTGATTTGAAGCTCCCTGTAGAGTGCTGCTGTCCGCCCTAAACCCTAAACCCTAAACCCTCAACATCTTGAAGAGGCTCTGCCATCCCGTCGCAGCGTCTGTGTGATATCCCCAACGGTTTAGGTTTAGGGTTTAGGGTTTAGGGTTTAGGGTTTAGGGTTTAGGGTTTAGGGTTTAGGGTTTAGGGTTTAGGGTTTAGGGTTTAGGGTTTAGGGCTTGTCGATTTAACATGCGTAGTGTATGGAAAGAGAGACGGACGTCCGAAACCTTCAGCGCAAAAGAGTTCCGTCATGTACATGGAGCTCTACTTTCTCCCACCCCAGGATGCCACCCAAAGCATCTGTAGGACGCTTAAGTTCTTAAGCGTCGCTAATATTGATAATAGTGTCTGGTAAAGAGATTACAGAAAATGTGAGAAACAAAAGACCATGCACTTACACAGTAAATGGCTGTAATTATGTTCCATAATTACCATTTACTTCTAGGTAAGACTAGAAAGTCGGCTTGCTAAGGCCTTTGGGTGGCTTAGGGGGGCTTACCCCCTCCTGTGGGGTACTCCACACAGAAAAACGCCTTGTTTTGGAGTAATTTTTGGCTCCAAGCACGATTTAGAAAGGCCAGACAAAGAAAAACGCACTTAAAGAGACCACACACAAAGAAACGCACTGTTTTGGAGTAATTTTTGGCCCCAAGCACGATTTAGCAAGGCCAGACAAAGAAAAACGTGCTGTTCCCGAGTAATTTTTGGCTCCAGGCATTTGGCTGGCCACGAGCACTCGAGGGTCCATTTTTTGATCCGGGTTTGACTGGGGCTTAGGGTGGCTTCAGAGAAGCCATTTAGCAAGGCCAGACAAGGAAAAACGCGCTGTTCCCGAGTAATTTTTGGCTCCAGGCATTTGGCTGGCCACGAGCACTCGAGGGTCCATTTTTTGATCCGGGTTTGACTGGGCTTCATTTTTGGCTTCAACCACGATTTAGCAAGGCCAGACAAAGGAAAACGCGCTGTTCCCGAGTAATTTTTGGCTCCAAGGCCTTTGGCTGGCCACGAGCACTCGAGGGTCCATTTTTTGATCCGGGTTTGACTGGGGCTTAGGGTGGCTTACCCTCTCCTGGGCTACCCCCACAAGAAGGCCAGAATTTTAGAAAATGAGGGGGTAATTTCCGCTATATAAAATCTATTTAAAATTAATTGGGAATCGAGCCATTTTTCCCGAATCCTGGGGTACCCCCCACGGAGCCTCCCTGGGACCTTCAAAAAAGCTTTCAGCCTCCTTCAGACCTTCGAAAGAGCTTCAGAGAGGCCACGCAAAGAGAAACGCACTGTTTTGGAGTAATTTTTGGCTTCATTTTTGGCTTCAACCACGATTTAGCAAGGCCAGACAAAGAAAAACGCGCTGTTCCCGAGTAATTTTTGGCTCCAAGGCCTTTGGCTGGCCACGAGCACTCGAGGGTCTATTTTCTGATCCGGGTTTGACAAGGCAGAGGGGAGCTCACCTTCTCCTGGGCTACTGACAAGAAGGCCAGAATTTTAGAAAATCAGGGGGTAATTTCCGCTATTTAAAATCTATTTAAAATTAACTAGGAATCGAGCCATTTTTCCCGAATCCTGGGGTACCCCTCACGGAGCCTCCTTGGGATCTCGAAAAAGCTTTCAGCCTCCTTCAGACCTTCGAAAGAGCTTTTCAGACCTTCGAAAGAGCTTCAGACAAGCCACACAAAGAGAAACGCACTGTTTTGGAGTAATTTTTGGCTTCCACCACGGTTTAGCAAGGCCAGACAAAGAAAAACGCGCTGTTCCCGAGTAATTTTTGGCTCCAAGGCCTTTGGCTGGCCACGAGCACTCGAAGGTCCATTTTCTGATCCGGGTTTGATGTCACGGGTTTAGGGCGTTAAATAACTCTTGTATTAGTACAGACAGTACTGTCTATAGAAATATTACAGAATATTTGTATACAGACATGCACTTACCTGTAAATGGCTGTAATTATATTCTATAATTACCATTTACCTCTAGGTAAGACTTAGAAGGTCATTTGTTTACATTCCCGTCAAGGTGTGTTACGCTCCTGTACGTGAGAAGGCTTTAGCTGAGCACTCAGGCTTAAGCTTAAGAGTTTAGGGTTTAGGGTTTAGGGTTTAGGGTTTAGGGTTTAGGGTTTAGGGTTTAGGGTTTAGGGTTTAGGGTTTAGGTTCGGAGTTTGGGGCTCAGCATCTTGACAGTACTTGTAATCATGCTACCATAATGACAATTTTGCACTTGGCCTGTTTTCCATATGTCAGGAACAAATTTGCATATTCTATCCTGTATATTTAGTTGTGCTAGATGTTGTATTGACTGTATACATATATACATACATACACACCATTAAGAATTTGCACGATACTGATTGCAAAAATGCTAAAACAGATAAGTGAAACATAATCAAAATAATAATCATCACCACCATCATAATACTCATAATTATCATAATGATCATCATGATAATACTAATAGCAATAATAACAATATGGATAATGAGTGCAGTCATGATTGGCATGGGTAGCGAATCAAATCAGATCAATACAATTTGTGAAGCAGTGTCGGGCAAAGCGCGACCTGAGTTAAGTGAGAGCCGTGTACAAGTAGGGCTCTTGCAAGATGCCAGCCTGCTAAGTCTTCTCCCAAAGCCTGATTCTTGGAGTTAGGGTGATCTTAAGCACGATGGACCTGCTCTGCCGGTCAAGCAGATAAGGATGCGATGTCCGTGCCCTCGTCGTGGACGTCATCTTGTTCATTAGGTCATTCATATAATAACGATATGATATCAGATGTAGTATTAAGACCATCAGAAAAGGATAAAGAACATCGTAGCGCAATGTTCTTAACGAGCTTTGCACATATTTAAGTGCTGGACCAGAAAGGTCACCAATGATGAGGCAACGTGACAATATGCATTTCCATTAAATTTGTCTGCACAATTATGTAAGGAAAGTGAACAAAACGACGTTCCATTCAATTCTATTCGTTCATCGGCGACTCTCCCCAAGGGAGGATCCGTTCTGGGCGCAATCACAACATATCACAACCACACCTGGAGGCGAACTCGACATGTGCCATGATTTGGTCCGTTCCCTAAACCCTAAACCCTAAACCCTAAACCCGAAGGCCCCAAACTCGACATCGCGGGGCTGCAGTACAACAGGTGGCACACAACCAGCCAAGATTCAGCACCGACCAGCAAAACCTTATGAGCCATGAACTCTTAAGGTACCCTAAACCCTAAACCCTAAACCCTAAACCCTAAACCCTAAACCCTAAACCCTAACCCCTAACCCCTAAACCCCTAAACCCCTAAACCCCTAAACCCCTAAACCCCTAAACCCCTAAACCCAACCCTGGACCCCAAACCGTTCAGCCCCCGAGCTCCTCAACCCCTCAACCCCTCAACCCCTAAAATTCCTCAACCCCTAAACCCTCAACCCCTAAACCCTCAACCCCCTTACACGGACCACGCCTTAGAGAACTTTCCCTTGCCCCACTGCCTTGAACGCCAAGATCCTTAACCCCGAAGTCCTACTTAGGGAGCTGCCGAAGAGGGGGAACCCTTCCTTCAATAGCCACGAAATAGCAGCCCAAACTTCGCCATTGCCACAAGATAAGATACGGAAACCGCTCCCCAGTTGCTGAGTACCCTGGCCCAAAAAAAGTTCTCCTTTCAACCATGGCCAGGTACTGAATCTCTACAAACCCTAAACCCTAAAACCCAAGGTTCAACCTGCATCTGAAATCTACCTGGACCCCCCAAGTACCCTTTAAGATGCCCTAAATACACCTATTAAGGTGCACTTAGGCACTTGTTTGGAGGTACTTTGGAGGTACTTGGGGGGGGGGGGGGGGGAAAGGAAAAAAAAGAAATAAAGAGAGTAAGAGCGCCGGGGGGGGGGGGGGGGGGGTGGGCCTTGTCTAGCTTCTTCGCCTCGAGGCTATCCAGCCTGGCAAGTTATCATTAAGCCCATGCAAGGTTTAGGGTTTAGGGTTTAGGGTTTATGGTTTAGGGTTTGGGTTTAGGATTTAGGGCCATGGCAGCTAAATCCTTAAAGCCAGCTATCCTTAAAGCCAACGACATTCAGCTGTGCCCACCCCGAGGCGTGAACCCACAGCACCTCTCCTCCCCCAAGCCCGAACCTGCATCAAAACAAGGGCTCCGGGCTTATACCCTTTGGCCCAGAATCCTTGGGGCCCAAAACCTAAAACTGAGAGTCCTTGAAGGGTGAGGGTATCCTAAACCCTAAACCCTGAAACGTAAACCGTAGTCCCAAATCCAAAACTTCCCAGAGGAACACAACGCAAGGTAGCCACAAACGGGACACCGAAGTACAGTGGTGAAGCACACATCTGTATCGCAGGTGATAATAATAATACTAATAATCATACTGATAGTAGTAATAATAAAGATAGCCAAGATCATAATAATAATAACAACGATAAGAAATAATAATCATAATCATAATCATAGTAGTAGTACTACCAATAATAGCAATGATCACAATAATAGTAGCAATACTAGTAGTGATACAGGTGATACAATAAGAATAGCAATCAGAGTACTAAAAGAAAGAATAATACAATACTATAGGATAAATATTCTAATGGAATA